ATCCGGTCCCCAAATAGGAAAACACCATGGAAAAAATCACCTCCCGGGGGCGAAACACCATGCCTCTGAAGGTTTTTGTACCGCTGTTTGCACAATGAGACATAGTGAGACATAGAACCCTCCTGCTGCTCCTGTTGCTGCTGCTGCTCTTCCTCCCGAAGCTGAGAACGCACGCTGCCGGACAGGGAAACACAGTGGCCCTGAAGGACGGAACGGTGCCAAAATCGAGCCCCAAAACTGCCTAACGTCCCTTCTGAAACCCTAGAAAAACAATGGTTTTCGACAATTTTTTGTACCGCTGTTTGTACAATGAGATATAGTGAGACATAGAACCCTCCTGCTGCTCCTGTTGCTGCTGCTGCTCTTCCTCCCGAAACTGAGAACGGACGCTGCCGGACAGGGAAACACAGTGGCCCTGAAGGACGGAACGGCGCCAAAATCGAACCCAAAAACTGCCTAACGTCCCTTCTGAAACCCTAGAAAAACAATAGTTTTCGACCATTTTTTGTACCGCTGTTTGTACAATGAGACATAGTGAGACATAGAACCCTCCTGCTGTTGCTGTTGCTGCTGCTGCTCTTCCTCCCGAAACTGAGAACGGACGCTGCTGGACAGGGAAACACAGTGGCTCTGAAGGACGGAACGGCGCCAAAATCGAGCCCCAAAACTGCCTAACGTCCCTTCTGAAACCCTAGAAAAACAATAGTTTTCGACCATCTTTTGTACCGCTGTTTGTACAATGAGACATAGTGAGACAGAGAACCCTCCTGCTGCTCCTGTTGCTGCTGCTGCTCTTCCTCCCGAAGCTGAAAACGCACGCTGCCGGACAGGGAAACACAGTGGCCCTGAAGGACGGAACAGCGCCAAAATCGAGCTCAAAAACTGCCTAACGTCCCTTCTGAAACCCTAGAAAAACAATAGTTTTCGACCATCTTTTGTACCGCTGTTTGTACAATGAGACATAGTGAGACATAGAACCCTCCTGCTGCTCTTGTTGCTGCTGCTGCTCTTCCTCCCGAAGCTGAAAACGCACGCTGCCGGACAGGGAAACACAGTGGCCCTGAAGGACGGAACAGCGCCAAAATCGAGCCCAAAAACTGCCTAACATCCCTTCTGAAACCCTAGAAAAACAATAGTTTTCGACCAGTTTTTGTACCGCTGTTTGTATATTAATGAGACATAGTGAGACATAGAACCCTCCTGCTGCTCCTGTTGCTGCTGCTGCTCTTCCTCCCGAAGCTGAAAACGCACGCTGCCGGACAGGGAAACACAGTGGCCCTGAAAGACGGAACGGCGCCAAAATCGAACCCAAAAACTGCCTAACGTCCCTTCTGAAACCCTAGAAAAACAATAGTTTTCGACCATCTTTTGTACCGCTGTTTGTACAATGAGACATAGTGAGACAGAGAACCCTCCTGCTGCTCCTGTTGCTGCTGCTGCTCTTCCTCCCGAAGCTGAAAACGTACGCTGCCGGACAGGGAAACACAGAGGCCCTGAAAGACGGAACGGCGCCAAAATCGAGCCCCAAAACTGCCTAATGTCCCTTCTGAAACCCTAGAAAAACAATAGTTTTCGACTATTTTTTGTACGGCTGTTTGTACAATGAGACATAGTGAGACATAGAACCCTCCTGCTGCTCCTGTTGCTGCTGCTGCTCTTCCTCCCGAAGCTGAAAACGCACGCTGCCGGCTGAAGGACGGAACGGCGCCAAAATCGAGCCCCAAAACTGCCTAACGTCCCTTCTGAAACCCTAGAAAAACAATAGTTTTCGACTATTTTTTGTACCGCTGTTTGTACAATGAGACATAGTGAGACATAGAACCCTCCTGCTGCTCCTGTTGCTGCTGCTGCTCTTCCTCCCGAAGCTGAAAACGCACACTGCCGGACAGGGAAACACAGTGGCCCTGAAGGACGGAACAGCGCCAAAATCGAACCCCAAAACTGCCTAACGTCCCTTGTGAAACCCTAGAAAAACAATAGTTTTCGACCATTTTTTGTACCGCTGTTTGTACAATGACACATAGTGAGACATAGAACCCTCCTGCTGCTCCTGTTGCTGCTGCTGCTCTTCCTCCCGAAGCTGAAAACGCACGCTGCCGGACAGGGAAACACAGTGGCCCTGAAGGACGGAACGGCGCCAAAATCGAGCCCCAAAACTGCCTAACGTCCCTTCTGAAACCCATAGAAAATGATGCTTTTGGCTCCTTTTCCTCTTGCTGCTGCCATGAATTTTAGCTACCTTTACATCCGGTCCCCAAATAGGAAAAGACAATGAAAAAAATCACCTCCCGGGGGCGAAACACCATGCCTCTGAAGGACGGAGAAGCTCCAAAATTGCACCCCGAAAATGCCTAACGTGACTTCTGAAACCCATAAAAAATGATGCTTTTGGCTCCTTTTTCCTCTTGCTGTTGCCATGAATTTTAGCTACCTTTACATCCGGTCCCCAAATAGGAAAACACCATGGAAAAAATCACCTCCCGGGGGCGAAACACCATGCCTCTGAAGGACGGAGAAGCCCCAAAATTGCACCCCGAAAATGCCTAACGTGGCTTCTGAAACCCATAGACAATGATGCTTTTGGCTCCTTTTTCCTCTTGCTGCTGCCATGAACAGTAGCTACCTAAACATCCGGTCCCCAAATAGGAAAACACCATGGAAAAAATCACCTCCCGGGGGCGAAACACCATGCCTCTGAAGGACGGAGAAGCCCCAAAATTGCACCCCCAAAATGCCTAACGTAACTTCTGAAATCCATAGAAAATGATGATTTTGGCGGTTTTTTCCTCTTGCTGCTGCTATGAATATGAAGTTTGGCTACCTTTAAATAGTAGTAGTAGTAGTAGTAGTAGCAGTAGCAGGAGTAGTAGTAGTAGTAGTAGTAGTAGTAGTAGTAGTCCGAAACAAGAGTCAAAAGTATTATTCCCTGGCGCGCTCCCCCTTGCGTCTGCCGGGGTCGGCGGATATATACTAAGTATGAGTTCTTGGTGGGTGGAAACACACCAACAGCCCAGATTTATCTTCATGGATTAGCTGCATGTGTTGAATGACCCTTCTTCAGGTGCTGACAAAAAAAATCATGTCAAGCATCAAATTATAAAATCTAATGATAGGTATATTTGAGCATGTTTGTTGGTTAAATAACCATAATAATCCAGCACCAATTGAACCTCCATGTTGATTCCGTGGTGACGTCCCATAATGATTTAACTTCCGTTATATACCATGATATTCTATACCAGAATCATCACCATGACAATCACCATGATCAAAAGATTGTTTGTTCCGGGAAAATTTACAGGTTTAACCTCCATATTTCCATGGGAAAATCATGGTTTCCGTCGTTTCCGGTGAAGAGTTTCCCTGGAAAATCAATCCATTGACGTAAACTAAATAATAGACCATCCGCAAATGGGTGGTAAATATCATCCCGAATGGTAGGTTTATATAGGTTTATGGCATTGGGTTTAGCACAGTAATCGCCACGATAACATTGATCGATTCTCTGGTGATCTTCCCACACAGCCAGACTGTGCCAGGACCTGAACAAGTCCTGCAGCGAGTGCTGTGTGCCCATGGCCGCGGCGACCGAGGTTGGCATTGAACAGGACTGTGACTAAAGGGAGCCACTAAAGATAGCATTGTTGATCGGTCATGAAATGGAGCTTATACTTATACTATCTGGTTTTATTAGATTTTATTTTTGATCATCAACTAACCCATACCAGTATCGGGAATATTTATTCACCCAACCATTATCATGGGGGTAATACTGACTAAAACAATTTTTGGATTTCATAGGAATATTTACTCACCAAGCAAGTTGATGGAATGGATATGGAATGGTATGTTTCATGGCTCACGCCGCTCACGTGGAGGTGAATCAGAAAATCATCGCCCGAGTCCCCCAATGGTAGTCATCCCGCTAAGCTTGTACCTGGCATATGACCCTTAAATAGTCTATATATCTGTATAATAGTCTCAACTTTGGGATACTGTTTGTATAAAACCCATGCAAGATGTTTAGTATCGGAGTGACAACTGTTGATATTCCGACTGCGTTTTGCTGCAGTCGGAATCTGAAAGAGAATGATCAGCCGGGAGTTGGTTTGTCAGCTGTCAGGACGGCGATGAGTGTATTGTTCCATGTTAAACAGGTTGACACACTGCTTGAATAATATTAGCAGAGTCACAATGGCGTCATCCTATCTATCGTTAAATATCAGTATTAAAAAAATGTAGGCGAGAAGTCTGCGAAAGGTGTGTGATTTTTGTGAGTCTGCCTGGATCCAATATGATCCAAGCCTAGCCCCAAATGAGCCAGCACTGTACAACTTGCAATATCGCAATTTCAAAAACTCGTTAAAATTGTTTAAAGTTTAAACTGTTGCTTCTGGTGGTGGGCAATCTGTGATAAAACAGCTTGGTAGTTGAATGCTTCCGAATTTGAAAAGTTAATGTTTCCTATCAATTCCCATGCAAATCCGTTGTCCGCAATATGCACGGGAAAGCATCACAACACATCCCAGGGTCCCTGTCCCTATTCTGCTGGGGTGCCTGGGTGGGAAAGGCTCACTAAGTTCGTGAAGGGCCACGACTGGATCATCATATTGGTTTGAAGATAGGATACCCCATTCCATCCACGGGTTCATCATTTTCCCTACTCAAATATCCATTTGGGGCGTATACCGTATTTTTAGACACAGCCATATATTAGCTATTGCCCAACTTAGTAACAAAAATATGAAACTGGGATTCGAAGTGATGGAAGAGTTCCTGACACCTGACCGCTGCAGGAAAGGATCATTTTGAACAGCTGGATGGTTTACTTCCAAGAAAAAGCGAACGTCTGCCGGGGCCGTCCAGTGGCCGTGGAGTTCGGAACGGAGAAAGATACAAACATATTATGTATCATATAGCAGAATATATCATATACATTCATATATAATGTGGGAAAAGCAATGCCATAAACCATCCATTTGGGAATGGTTTATACCAACCATAATGGTGATGACTGGGGGATGGTTTATTATTGTTTTACCCACCTTACATGTTTATATGTCATGTACATTTTACTGATTTATCTGAAGATATAGGTACGAATCAAAAAGTCAGATCGTTGCTTGCCGTGTCAAAAAGTGGGTTCCTGGTGGTTCAAAGGAATTGGGACATTGCTCAAATCCACCACCAGGAAGCACCACCAGGAAGCCTTGCTGAGGCTATCCCGTCCCAAATAAATGATAATAAATGTAAATGATGTTTTTCTGAATCAATGAATGTTAATGATCCATGCTGCTTTTTGATGTTGGTTCCAAAAGCTGAGAAACGATCAATGGCCACCCTTTATTGCTTCCTGCAGTTGTCTTTAACTTTCTCCACACCGTCTCACTCGGAACCAGAACCATTTCACACCCCAAAAAAACTCAGAGAATTGACCTAGGACCTGAGTAGATTGTTTTAGGATGTTCACCCCCTTTTTGCCCCCTTCCGCCGGGATGTTCTCGGGCTGGCTCAAGTCGCCCCGCTGTGACGCTGAGGCTTTTTCATCGGCCTGGTGATTGCAGGGAGTGTTTCCCTCAAGCGGTGACCCTGTGGTCGTTTGAACAGTGGCAATAGTCAGTGCACCAACGGGTTGTGGGTACATGAATTTTGGGCACGCTTGAGCTTCTACTCTTTGGATTCTTTGGGTTCATCAGAACAAGTGCAGTACTTGGTTATGATCCAGTGCAGTATAATCGCATAGAATCGCTCTGAACCAACCGGGAGAATCAGTCCCCAAGAGGCTTTTGGATGCTTTCGGATGCTTTTGGAAGATGGTTTTGGATGCCTTTTCCACACGCCTCACGATCAAAAATTCCTCCCATTCCTGCAGTATTCTCCAAGGTTGGGGAGCATTCTACTTCCATTTAGTCAGAGATCGCGTTGAAGGAGATTGGTATGCAGATTGGGCCGGGTGCCTAAAAAACATCTTGCCTAGTGGCTCAGTGATCATTAAATGTCCCCATTGAACATCACCCAACCATGAATGGTATATGGTCTATAATGGCTACTATAAGGTGATGTCCAATATTCCCAAAATGGGACATTTACCAACCCCTGCTCAGGAATCAATCTGTAAACCATTCAAAGCGGTTTGCTGAAAATACCCCTGAAAATACCCCAGTAGATGATCTTCCACTCCAAAGCTCCGTTGGGCGTCCAGCAGGACCTTTTTTTCCTGCGCCCATAAAACGGACGGTACCACCGGTAGTACCACCATGGATGCTGATCCCAGAAGAATCCTTTTTTAACATCCCATCTGGTTGGTGGTTTGGAATATGTTTTTTTTATTTTCCCATCATATTGGGAATGGAAAATATGGAAAATCATCCCAACTGACGAACTCACTCCATGATTTTTCAGAGGTAGGTCAACCACCAACCAGCCATGATTGTCCCCAAAAAATCCCAAGAAAAATCCATTGATTTGCCACCCGGCCGATGGCTGGGTGGTGGGAGATGTTCAGCCTTAAAATGGCAATTTTAGTGCAGAAAAAGATGATAGATTTATTTATAATATAGACTGATTAGACTGGATGTTCGGGCTTCAAGAATTCTTGGATCCTTTCTTTCCAATCTGAATGCCGAGGTAGTCCGGAACCCTTTGTTTCTTTGGGGCCGAACTTGGCTAGAAGTCTCTGTGGTGCGAGCCCCAATGTGGAGAAAATCCCTGGAGCGGGCCAGTTGGTCAGATACCCCTGGAGCCCCTTTCAGAATCCATGGTGATATGGTGCTGGGAACTTGATGTTTGGACCAATCACAGATGCCATGGTTACCATCACAGATACCAACATCATTGAAACTGTTAAGGCAAATGTTTCCATAGTTACCATTGTTTGGCTAGATGAGCTTTCTCTTGGGTTGTGAATGCATGGAGTGTGTGTAAAAAAAACACGGATGATCTAGGAAAACGGTGGCAAGAAGTTACCAGCGTTTGGTCAAGGGAAAAAAAGGGGTTCAATGCGGAAAGCAGAAACTGATTGGTAAGTTCAACTGGTTACCATCGGAAATGATGTAACCCAAAATTATTGGCTAATCATCATGTTCCCTATCAAAACGGCTAATTGAATCTATTTGGTGTCCAAGTAATTGTGGTTGGTTATACATACAGTGCATATATGTATAATGTATATCCCATAACATATCCCCATGAATACCCAAGTTTCCCGATTTGCAATAGTGAAACTTATCCATTGGTGATTTTCAGACTATGCCATAAAATATCCAATCATCATCCATCATCATCCATCATCATTATTCCTCATAAAATATCAACTCCCTATTGTTACGATTGTTTTGATTCCATGTCCCCATATTTTTCTTGTGCAATATCTCAATTCTACCCTCCCCCCAATTCACATAGACCCCTATTCGTATAGCCACTTCTTCGTAGAAACTAATCTTCTAACCCTTATTTGGCAGGGTCGACAGTCTACTGGAGGTTTTTTTTTCCGTTCATCTCCCATTATCCGAAATGATTCAAATCTCATATTGGTGATAGATTCCATTACATATATTCCCATGATATATTTCATGTGCATCCCTATTGAATCCTCCAAATTCTTGAAATCATATCTTGGTGATAGATTCCATTATATATATATATTATATATACATCTTCCCTTCATGATCCATTCACATTCTCAATGGATTGGTTGGGAAAAAATCCAGGAAACCCCCAAATTTCATGGGACAAATCGATGGTTTCCGTTCCTGGGCCGCAGTTGGGTTGGATCTCCTCAGTGGCCTTCGGTTCGGCCGGGGGAGCTCGGAAACACATCGGAGGTCTCGAGTTTTTGGAGCTCACTATATACATGAATATATGATATAATAAATATATATATACTATATTATATATATATATATATGTAATATGTATGTATATATATATATGTATTCTAGAACTGATGTCTTAACATGTCTTAACTGTTCTATTTCACGTAACTGCCGCTATTTGATCCTGGATTTGCGTGTTTTTTCCGGCTCCGTAGATTCCGTGCCATTGGTCAGGGTCGAACTTCAGCCATTTCCTGGGGACATCACGAGTTTTTGATGGTCGTAATGATGATAGACAAAAAAACATGGGGAGATCCCCAAATCAATTCCAGGCCTCTAAGACCCAAACAAAATGGAACTTCAACAGCTGTTTGAATGCAAAACTCATCCGAGAAAGAGAATATAGCATGCGTTGGAAACATTTTTTTCTAAAATACAAAAGTCAACATGTCAAATCAACTTTTCCAAACCAATAAAGAACGCGTGGTTGTTTTCACCAAAACATCGTGAGGTGTTTCTGCCTTTGAGGTGCCAGAGTGGGTGGCTGCCTTTCGGATCATGTTCACCCTGCAGTGCCTCGGGTTCCGACTCGGCGCCTGATGGGTTCATTTTTCGGGGCTGAAGTGCACCCACCTTTAAATCACCATGAGGGAGGGGAGGGGGGGGTTGCAGGGCTGAGCCATATAAATGTATATATAATATATATATAATATATAATATATATATAATATATCTATATATAATATATCTATATATAATGTTCACCTCTGATTTATAAACGTGGGCCCCCCCCCTCTTTGCCCCTAAATAAACTTAAAGCCACCATCAAACTTGTTTGTATGTGATGGTTTTCAATTACCACAGCAATTTCCAAAAAAAAAGGAATCCAACAATTGTTTTAGTATTGATTTAGTATGCATGTCATGGATTTAGTATTGATTTAGTATTGATTTAGTATTCATGTCATGTCACCTCAAATAAAGCATGGACAATTTTTTTCAGCGCCATCTAGGCAAATCTGGCTTTAGGGCCAAAAAAGTTTAGCTTTATTTAGGGGTCATTTATTATTTATTTTGGGAGTTTGGTTAGCTTTATTCAGCGTGGGTTTAAAAATCGTAGGTCAACATTATACATAATATATATATATGATACATACATATATATATATGGTTGGTATGTATATATAGATATAGATATATGGTATCATAAAACCAGCCTGTATATATATATACATAAAACCAACCAAGCATATATATCCATCTCATGGTTGGTTTTCTCCCATCTTTGCAGCAAAATTGCCAGAAGCTCCGCAGCTGATCCGCATCCCAGGTTTCACCACGTTGTGGCGGGCATGGTTGGCCGCAAGGATGAGGACGATGTCGCTTAGAGATGGGCAGAGCTGTGCCGATGGGGCCCCTGGGTGGTCCCATAAAATTTGGGATTTGATCCATGAAAAATACCCAAAAAATGGATTTTACCAAAGAAAAATATCAAAAAAATGAAGGTTTTAGATGGTTTTAGATGGTTTTAGATGGTTTTAGATGGTTTTAGATGGTTTTAGATGGTTTTAGAAGGTTTTAGATGATTTTAGATGGTTTTAGATGGTTTTAGATGGTTTTAGATGGTTTTAGATGGTTTTAGATGGTTTTAGCATCCAACCACGTGGATTTTTAAGCACCAAAAATAGGAATCTATATGCATCACAAATGTATATAGATCCAAACCAGCAAAAATGGCGGATTTTACCCCTATCATATCTTGCTGCGTGACTGAGAAATACAACGGGATGTTTTCGCCGAGACTGATGGGGATGATTTTTTTCCATCACCTTCGGATGGTGCTCACCAGTAAACTGGGGAATGGTGGATGAATGGTGGTTACCCTCTGGTAAACATACAGAAAACTATGGAAAATCACCATTTTTAATGGGAAAATCCACTATAAATGACCATTTTCAATAGCTATTTTGACATAACCAGGCCGGGTAGCCTCCTGTGAACTACTGTAACATTTAACGATGTGAGTTTAACCAAACCCCACCATGAAAGTCGATCATTTTCCCAGGGAATATCCATGGCTCTACTCTCTGATTCGCTGGTCAGGGAATATGGGACCATCCTACACCGTGCTAGATAGCAAACCTTTTTTAAAAAAATCCTGCTACTGAAATAGTGACAACTCATGGTTCTATCTTTTTTGGCGCTAAATATAAGTTATAGATCTTATTGGATCCCAATGAATCCTTGCCTGCTTTGTTGCGAAAATCATCCTCGCCTCGGGGCTGTGGATCGCCCCCGCCTTCGCAGATGTTCCAAGTTGGGATCAAAGCTTAGTAGCTGGGCACCTATATGTTATATATTATATATTATTATATAATATATATTTGGTTGGTGGTTTCAAACATTTTAATTTTCCATAATACATGGGATGTCATCCTTCCCATTGACGAACTCCATCATTTTTCAAGATGGGCACATTGCACCACCAACTGCAGATATGTATGTCATACCCTCTGGTTATGACTAACATAGCCATAGAAGCCATGGCCCTAATCGAAATAGATGGTTTACCGAACTTAAAAATGGTGATTTTCCATGGCAAACTGTTAAATAACGCCCATTTATAGATGGTTTTTCCCTATGAAAAATGGGTGGATCTTTCCATGGCAAACTGGCAATGTCATAACCAGATGGTACATATAATCATAATCGAGCTACTGATTCTGATCTACTGTGCTAACCATTGGTAAGATCTTCCAACTTCAGTAGATCACTTAGAAAAATTAATGATCTACTGCTTATATCATGTTATATCTGATGATCTGCCGATGATCTATTGGTTAGAATTTTCATCTAAATTCCCAGCAACCATCTCCAAGAGTTTCAGTTCGATTCATGGACTCCTGGGACTGCCATGAAGCCAGCAGAACGATCTAAGGCCATCGAATAGCCAGTCGTGAGCCACCGGCGCGCGACCGCACATCGATTCTGGTGCCATTTGGGGCAAATGGAAAAAAAGGCGTGTTTCGCAAGTCAAACACTCGATGATTTGCTGGTTGGTGGTTTGGAACATGTTTTATGACTTTCTATATATTGGGAATGTTGTAACCCCAGCTGACTAATATTTTTCAGAGGGTTCAAACCACCAACCAGTTTGTTTTAGTTCGTTGAAGTGCTGATGTTGGATTCCCCTAATATGTTTGTCACCCGAACAGGTTTTCGAAGTGCCCAAAAAAAAGGGCGTCAGAAGTATTGAACATGTGTGTTCAGCGTTTGGCAATTTGGCACGCACGCTCTGGCGAACCAACTTGGAAGTGGGAAAACCATCAGAATTTTCTCTGAGGAAGCTCCAAATTGTTGGGGATTTCAAGTGGTTCAACCCCAGGGGCACTTCTCGGTCAAGAGCTTGGTGCTTTCATCATCTGGATCTGTGATCTTTTTGCTTCAGTGATTCCAAGTTCCAGTTGTGACATGTGATCTTTTCTTGAGCCACCTGTTTTTTTTGGTCAATTTGTCATCGGATGTTCTGGATGTTGAAACCTGCGCTCGCTGCTGGGCGCTCCGATTGCTTTGATGACGGAGGTCTAAAACCCGTTTCACCTCGGTCGATCCGGAAGCGTTCCGATCCGATCACAGTCGGGGGTCCTCCTGCGATGGAAGAATTGCGCAGCGGTCGAAAGGGATGGTGCCCATGGGGAGCTGGGAATGGATCTGGGGTCCCATCATGGATGGTTGTACTGTCACTAGGTTTTGATGTTTCGGCAAGAGGCCTATCAATTTTGAGTCAGACATGTGCTAGCTGCTAATGGTCTTGCAGCACAAAATTAGGGGACAAGCAACGGAAACGGTTTTTAAACTGGAATTAGACAAACATGATACCTTTGAGACAACCATAGACGCGGGATGCCCCCTTGTTACAGAGGAAACACGCCTTCCAGTGAGTCTTGGGCCCACTTTCATCAAGGGTTGGGTATGGTTGTCAAATAGATTAACTTGAGGAATGCAAGCATTGCGAACTGGCAGAACCCATGATGTTTGGCCAGACCCACGTGTAGAATGATGATATGATAAACATTGATAAACCATGGTAAACCCATAAACAGTTGTTATATAAAACCTCTTTTCGACATCCCCGGTAGTTTGGCCAAGCCTGGATTCCTGATGTGGAAGTTGGCAAGGCTCAATTGGGGTGCCCGCAGATTCCGACATATTTGTTGGTGCGCCGCCACCCATGGATTGCCCATATCTTACCCATTCAGAACACGCCATAGAAATCTAGAATTCTCTCCAAGTCATTCGCAAAGTGCATTGCAACTCCTATCATTCAGTCAACGTTCAACTTGCCCAGCGGCTTACATTGACTGGATCATGAATTTCAAAGAGATACCGATCAAGACGCTTGGCGATTTCTGCGGGCTCCGGCATCAGCTTCGGGCGGTGAAACAGTGGTTGGTACGCCGTACAGGTTTGGATCAATGGGTCTGAACATTGGGTACCCCTAAATCCGCTGCTCAATCATGTTCTTCATATTAAAAAAAAACGGGGCCATTTTTTTGGAGGGCAATGATACCCCTATTTTCAGACACACCGGAATGTGCCGAATCCCAGAAAATTCTTCATGGTTCTGGCCTTTGACGATGGTCGAAAAAACGTGATGCCAGTGACCCTGCTTTTAGCTGGACGACATTTGCGCTCCGGTGATATCCTGTTCAGGTCACACTTTCGGAAACCATCCATATGGATGGATGGTTTTAATAGCACCCATTAATAGCACCCATAAAAATGGAGATGGGGATGGTGCTTGTTAAAAATTGTTTTAACCACAAAAAACACATCTTCCCACGAAAATTCCCTTCAAGTCTATGATATTAAAGTCCTTGATAGTTTTTTTTCTGACTTAGAGCATCATCTCACTTAGTGGATGTAAGTGGTTTCTTAATTAAACAATATTTAGAATATATATATATACATAAACATGGGATAAGCCCACTGAATGGGGACCCCTAGGGTTATTCCCAATCCCGTCTGAGGAACCCGCATACTCTGCCCAGCCACTTTGGACCTGGTTCCCAATGGGGAAAGCCGTCGCTTGGAACCGGTCAACATGAGGATACTCTCTGGGTAACTAACATGGCTATCAAAAATCGCCGTGTTTAGGTAAATCTGGTAAATCAGCAATTGCCCATTTGAAAAATAGCAATAGTTGAAAATACCAGAGGATATCATTGGGAATGAAGTGTTTGTTCGTCCAAGCTTTGGCTCACGGTGAATGTCCAACAATTCAGTCTAGTTTTTGTAGAATTCTTCGAGGCCTGCAAGGCCTAAAAATCACCCGTATCACCTGGTGATTTTGTTGGGTCAAAATAAATGTCGAAATGCGGCGCCAACATAAATTGAATCTACAGCTTTACTTAATGCATTCAACAAACAAGGTCCAGCCGCCCGCCTTCAGCCTACTGTTGAAAGAGGATTCTCAGAGCCTATCCCATTTTTTGGGCCGGTGACACAATCATCATCTGGTTGGTGGTTTCAAACATTTTTTGTTTTTCCATTTCATATATGGGATTATATGGGATGTCATCCTTCCCAACTGACGATTCGTCATATTTTTCAGAGGGGTAGGTTGAAAACACCAGCCAGATTATTATTAACCATATAATAACCATATAATAACCATATAATAACCATATAATAACCATATAATAACCATAACCATTAATATTAACCAGTCGTGATCCCAAGCCTTCCACTTTGATCCCCAATGAGACGCATCACCGGACTGGGGATGGCTGAAAACTGCTTTGAATATCGAGGATAGAAATCACCAAATCTGATCCTCTGTTTATTTAACATGTAATAGCATGTAATAGCTATGGAAAATCACCATGTCTAAACATGATAGGATCATCCTCATTATCATCTATAGATAGGCTATGTTCATCCATGTTCCCTTGAATTTCCAGAGATTGAGGTTTTATCCCATGGGCCAAGAGTGCGAAAAGATCAACGTGCCTAGGAGCCGAGGTGGGATGGACAATTGGAGACCTCAATGCCTCGAATTTCGGATGTCATCATGGAGCTTTCCTATATGGATCCATAGTCATGGGGGTACCCCAATAGCTGGATGGCTTATTTCATGGAACATCTATCTAGAAATGGATGATATGATGATGGTACTGATGGGTACCTCTATGACTTAGGAAACCTCCGAAAAAAAAGTCATGGGGAATACTGGGATACATCCAGTCGTCATGGATGACCATTTATGAAGCACATGGTGTTTAACTTATGGTGACTTGGGATCCTCCTATTGTAAGAAACGCCCATATGAGAAATGCATGGCTGATCGCCATGATGATCTCAAGACTATGATATACAAAAAAGCACGCATTTTTTCTAGTAGGACAAGACATGAGCAACTGGCCGTAGTGTTGGTGGGCCTGATATGGGTATGGATCAATACCTATTAATACCATTTTTAATGGGATGAACATCCATTTACCAGCTATTTTGATGTTCACCAGGGGTACAAGGTTTTGACACACTGCCATATGAATATGCAATGCATATGTATTTATTTATTTTTGGGAACCATTTGGACCTGAGGTTGGTTGAAGTCACTAGTTGAAGTCGCTAAAACAGCACATATGGATAGGTTGTTGGACCGTTGGATATTGCTACAGACATCTTTTGAAATCACGTGGGTTTGTCTGGAAATAGGGTGCCCAAGAATTTGATGGCTTCATCGGCTTAGACTCGTTGATCGCATGTTCCCAACCCCATTCCTTTAACATAGATATGGAAAAGCCATCAGAACTGTAGACACTTTTCCTTGGGTTTTGCTATGGTTTTTCTATATTTTTTGTGTGTTAGTTTGCTGGAGGTAAGAGAATGGGCGCAAGCGTCAATGGTGGCTCACCCATTTGTCTGAATGGATTTGTCTGAATGGATTGGGCAGCCCCAATTCTTATGGTTCATCACGAATGAATCATCATGTTATAATGGTATATAATTTGCCCATATGTGTTGCCCTAAAATCATCATAAAACATGATGAAAATATCCTTGGCAGCATTTTCTCGAAGTGTCCAGGACCACTTGGGTATGAAACAAATTCCAAGCCTTGAACGTATCCATATTTAAAGCACAACATGGAAAGCGTCGTGCAATGTCGGGGATTTATACATTTGACTGGGACCATTACCCTCTGGTTATGGAAAATACTTTGCGACCTGGAATATGGATGAACATGGTCAATGTATGTCAATGTAGTTTGATTGATGATAAACATCACGATCTACCGTTTTTTTTAAAGATGAGTTTCCACTTCACTACATTAAATGACTAGTGACCGGGGGGTAAGCGTGGGGCTGTTTTTTTTTTGCATCTGTTTGCATCAATGGGGGACAGATCCTCCAAGGACTTTCCGACTTTCCGCGGAAATTGGTTCTGGGGGGGTACAGAAAGTCATAGAAACTCCAGAAACGGATAGCAAGAAACGTCATGGTTTCCCTGCAGTCCCATGATGTCCCAAGGATCATAGCTGCCATAGCTCATTGCTACTAGATGCTATTAGTGTCAGCTTTCATAGTGATCATCATGTATTAGTTACATTTTTTTTTTGGAAGTGATATATATCGTATATATCCTGGTGCCAATTTTTTCCTTGGATGTCTCTTCCTAAAATCTGTTCATGGTAAAAAAATAACTACCCTCTGGTAATTTAACGTAGCTATTGGAAATAGCCCAGTCGAAATAGTTGATTTACCTACAAAAAATGGTGATGTTCCATGATTTTCGCTATTTTTGAATTTCCATTTCGGGTTTTACCCTCTGGTTATTTAACATAGTCATGGAAAATCACAATTTTTAATAGGTAAACCATCTATAAATGGGCCATCTATACCATGGCGAACTGTTAAATAACCAGATGGTACATCTATTCTTCGGTGCCCGCCATGCAGGCACCAACCCCTTGAGTTTGAGCGCGACCGCCTCGTGGCAATGCCTTCCCAACACACGCTTCGAGCGTAGCATGCGCGTGCTGCACGACCCGCCCTCGGCACGCTCCTGCATCGTGTCGCACAATGCGGAGGGACTCTTTATGGATTCCCAGTCCCACTACACCAAGGCAGGGATGATTCATATGGCAGTGTGTCAAAACCTTGTACCCCTGGTGAACATCAAAATAGCTGGTAAATGGATGTTCATCCCCCTAAAAATGGTATTAATAGGTATTGATCCATACCCATATGATTCATGGATGGGACACTTGTTTTTTTCCCGATCTCGGTGATTTTTTCAGCGGAAAATGATGAATTAGAGATTGATGAGGATTTATCTGCTAAAAAGGATGACGTCCTATAGCTATGTAACATATTACCGGAGGCTGCATTCATAAGATTTATTCAGCCTTGTGACCTTATGAGTTGGGAGAGAATTCCGGCTCAGCCAGTCACTAACCCCTGGTAATTAGCAAATTTTTGTCATCCCAATTATCCCAATTATCAATGCTGGCTATATAAACCATTCTGACCCATTCTGAATTCATATGAGTGGGTAGGTCAAAACCATTATGAACCATGAGTTGTCAAAATGTTCACGGGTTTTATTTTTCAAATCAATGATGAGCTATAAATATCTCCAGTTTCTTTTAAGTCACAACATCTTTGATGAACATTCATGATTTACAGTCCAATTAACGTGGGTAAAACAATGCCATAAACCATCCCCCAGTCATCACCATTTTTATAGGTGGTATGGTTACCATTCCCAGTCATGGCTAGTCTATGACACTGTTTTGCCCACATAATATAATATATATATATATATGTATACAAATCCCATTAAAATCATCATTATATCATCATGTTTGTTGGTTAGATCCCATTAAAACCACCATTTAACCACCATTTTTCATGGTTAAATCCCATTAAAACCACCATTTTTCGTGGTTAGATCCCATTAAAACCACCGGCCGTTGGCCATGTCAGGTGGGCTCCAAGCACCTCTGCGATCCGCGACCGGATCATCCCCATGCCTTGGCGAGGAATTCATGAGGGGCTGCGGACGGTTTAGCATGGTAAAAAACCACGGTTTAGCATGGCAAAAAACATGGCAAAAAACATGGTTTGATATGGTTTGATATGGTTTGATATGGTTTGATATGGTTTGATATGGCAAAAAAAAAACCATGGTTGAGTTATAATCAACATGGTTTGATATGGTTTGACATGGCAAAAAAAATGTGGTTTAATTATGCTTCGAAGATGGTATGAAGATGGTTAAACATTGGCCTTTGGCCATTAGGCGAAATGGTGAACATAAAGTGAAGAATACCATCGTTTTTTCCGAAGAAATCCGGTTTGGGATTTGAAGAAATTTATCAAAGTGTGAGTGAGAATTGTGATCTGTGATCTGTGCACTCCACTGGTTGGGAAAGAAAAGGATCTTGAGGAACCAAGAAGATACATAGCCAGATACATAATATGATGTAGATTTTCGGGCCACTAGTCCTCCCTTTTGTTAGATTTGCCCGTGTTTTCGAGCAGACCAACGCATCTTCAACCAGCCTTTAAACAAAAACAAAATAGTTGATGAAATCCAGCGGCTTCTTGAGTCTCTTTAGGGATTTCACAGCTGCACCTGGCGTCTCCCGGATAGTTATGGATAAACTCTTTTCCCATGAAGATAGCCAGCTTAACCAATGATCGTTTGCATGGTATTTCTGGTTACGGCAAGACCCTCTGGTTTGCCCGTTTGCCCGAAAAAAGAAAGGTGTTCAAACACTATCCTTCGCTGGGCCAGTGTTTTGGTATTTCCCAGACGACGAACCCTAAACCCTAAAACCCTAAAATCTAAAACCCTAATCCCTAAAACCATAGAACCCTAAACCCTATAAAACTCTGAATCCTAAACCAGAAAACACTGCGTATAAGCAGTATTTTCTGTAATCTATCTTACCATGTTCGACAACAGGGCATCCTCAATGTCGCAGTTTGGGCAAACCACGGGGTCTGTGCGTAAGGTTAGCCATGTCAATTTCACGGTGGTAAACAGAATGAATAGTTTCTGTTCCCCACCTCATAGCGTCAGGGATTTGCGAGTGCTGCACTTCAGCTAGATTCTGTTAGTATATGACATTTTATGATCAAAAATGTGTGTGTGTGTCATAAATAAAAGGATAGAGCACGCATGTGCTTGCTAGTGCTTATGTACGATGCGCTTCGCCATCCCAAATGAAAAATTATGCATCGTCCCCAAGATTCCTCCAGATTCTCACCAGATCCAACATTGTGTTCAGGCTTGTTCTAACATAGCTAAATGGGTATGGGTCAAAACTCAAAACCCTATCCCCCTGTAGTTCACATCAAAATAGCTGGGTTAAAATGGATGTTCATCCCCCTAAGAATGGTATTTTCATAGGTATTGATCCATAGCCAAATGATTGCCCCCGAAAGTGGCAAAAAGATGCAAAAAGGCCAACCCATGGCCATTCCTGCCTGACACGCGACGGCCATGACACGCACAAAAGCTGGGGACAGCGCAGCGAATACACACGACGACTGAGCGTGATTGGCTGTTTCAAGGGGTGCTGTAGCGATGTATCATCTCAAGGGGTGCCGAAATGCCAGCCTTTGGAAGGTCCTGGTATAACTGGTATAAATACTGGCATAATGTATGTTCTATAATATAAGTTATAAATAGTTATAATATAAGTCATATACATATTTACATCAGGGATTGTCACAATGAATGAATTGGTAACTCTTAAGTTTAACAGTTAAACCATCACGTCATTCTTGATGGATAAATCCCAATGTGACCGATGATTCATGACACCGATGGACCTGATGATCCTCAATTTTCCATAAAGCCCGTTAAATCCCAGTTAAATCCCCATAGTTGGACCATTTTTCCTCCTTAAATTCCAATGTGTTTCCTGGTGAAATCCCCACCTTTGATGCGATTTTTTTCCCCTGAAAATTCCTCATCACCCCATCCAGGACGATCAGCGTCCCATCCATGCATCCCTACAACGAGCGTCGAGCCTTACTGCATGATCCGACACCCTGGCATTTCAACGATGCCTTTACAACCAGCAACGAGAGCTATGGAACCTGGAATGAAAAAGGTTTGATGTGAAAACATGGAGGTTTCCGTTTAAAAGGGGGTACCCCCAAATCAAAGTTAAGCCATTTTTAGTATTAAAACTTACGGTTTTAAGGATCCCCCAGTTTAAGAAACCACCATCTGTATCCATATGTTTATGACCTTTGGGATTTTCTGGCAGGTTTTTTCTCGGGAAAAGAATAGAAATTATATCAAGATATGAATCCGTGGTTTCGGGTTGGAGATCGACCACACAGAGTTTTTTTTGCGGGAATCCGGTAGTTCTTTTGAGGTTTTTGGTGGGTGAGAGCCTTTTTTTTGCTTATTTTCTGGGATTGGGATTGAAGAACTTGTTTTTTGGGTGGTTAAACCACATGTTTGTTGGGATTTGACACAAAATTTGTGTCCATGAAGGGAGTTCCAAGAAGTTGAACTTTACCACCATATCGGGGATATCATGGGATATCACCGGTAAAAGCGGACATAACCATCAATGTCGGGGGATGCCCGATGTATTTTGGGGGGATAGCTGATGTATACAGAATCCTAATTGAGATGATCAGAATTCTTGGGCACGTAAAAATCAGATTTGCCTTATTGGATCTTAATATAGAACGGAGGTTAGATATGGTTAGTTAGATATTGATAGATATTGCAGATGATATGTCCAGGTGTACAACATCTATCCTGTACAGCCCTTTTTGCATAGCCTTTGAAACTGCCAGCTGAGTTCGAAGGCATCGATTCATCCCCTGGCGACAAAAGAAATCCGAAAGCCGTCAGTTTCCCCAGGTTTTGCTTGGCCAACGCCCTTCCTTTTGGTGGATGATTACCACCATTATGTTTTTATATGTTTTTGTTGACTTCTTTGGTTGCCACTGGTCCACTTTATACGTGAACTCATGTGACTCATGTTGGTAAACTGCCATGTCGGTCTGGTCTATCTGAGTCTGAGGACTGTTCTACAGTAGCCACATGCTGAAGCAGCCAATGGTTCCTTGGCGCTGCAGCAATGTGGAAGATATCCTCACCAGTTGAGCAATTCATCCCAGCCATTGGAATCCCACTATTTGATACTGCAGTGTTTCATAGTCACCAAAAAAAAAACAACTGGTGCAGGATTTTCTCCATCCACCTGGTGTCAAAATTGGGGTACGGTACTCTGGTAGTTTGCTATTGGACATTGTCCATGTAGTTTGATGATCTATCCATATCTATCCCATGAAGAATGGTGTGATTTTTTTCTCATAGCTATAGTTCAACTAGCAGAGCTACCCAAAAATCAAACTGGTGGTTTCTAAAAACATGTTTCTAAAAACATGTTTCTTTCCACATGTTTCCATCCCACATGTTTTAACCCAGGGACGCTAAGACGATGATCCCTGGTCGGAGCAGCTTTCCCTCTGGTAATTTGACGGGCCCACGTTGCGGCAACGTTTTTGAAGATGGCCCCATGGCCCATAGAAATTGTTGAGTTACCGAACTTCAAGATGATGATTTTCCATATACTTCTGGGGTGTTGTGAATGATGATAATATTTGATAGTTATTTATCCTGATATCTACATACCGCTGATGAAATATCCCATCAATTCCTATGAAATCCCACCAAAACCAGGTCACTATGAAAATTGCTACCTGAATATCAAGATCACTAGGTGATGAGACGCAACAACTTCGAGTGGCAGCGTGAGAAGCGGCGCATGAAATGACGGGGCAAGAGGGCTTTTTTGGCATCGGCATCGAGTTCAGGAAATGGAAAATGGAGCAGACCTGAATATTTGGGGCAAGCTTTGAATGATGGTTGGCTACACTGGTCTGGTTTTCTAGAAATATGAATGCAACATGCATATGAACCAATGAACATAGAGGAACTGATTAATATAGAGAACAAGCCATTGGGGCTACTAAACTGGTGAAAGGCGAAAGGTCGTTTCATGGTGATGGTATCCAAGGTTGAGCATCTGTTGCATCCTGAAGTTCCTGTAGATAGAGCATTGAATGTTCAAAAATCGTCCCGTTTGGGTAAGGAGTTGTTAAACACATGACCATAAATGTACACATTCTATCTACATCTATCTACGCCCAAAAAACGACCGTAGGTATTGTCGCATATTGTCGCTTCATCTCCAGTTGGGGTTGCTGAACCACTATTCGGATGCCAGAAAACTTGTGTCGCGCAGTTTAGTTGCTGCACTTGAACAACATCAAAGGATATCAAAGGTAAATCTTTGAACTTCACATGTCTGTTGTTCTTTTTTTGGGAGCCAAACGACCTGTCTTGGGCAGGACTTACCAAACACCTTGTATCACCAGACCGATCATGCTTGACGAAATCAACATGTCTCAATACGACTAAAGATTTTGGTATTGCGGAAAAAAATACAAATAAATTTATAAAATTATTGAATTTTTATAACAATAATTCAAAATCAACCTCATTTAATATAAAATCTTGATTAAAAATATGAATTAAATTAGAAAAATCAAATAAAAATATACTATATTATATTAAAATATATTTCTAAAATCTAATTTAAATTAACAATCATTTTTTAATATTTATAATATAAAATATTTAATATATATATATATAATTATTGAATTTTATATATAATAAATTATTAAAAATAATTATTTATATTTAATATATAATTATAATAATAAATATTTTATAATATTTTAATAATAAAAATTTAATATATAAATTATAATTATATAAAAATAAATAATTAAATTAA